GTGTGTGTGTGTGTGTGTGTGTGTGTGTGTGTGTGTGTGTGTGTGTGTGTGAGCGAGCATGAACTAGAGCGCTCGCTTGAGAGAGATATGGAAGCGGAGAGAAGGATCGAGAGACAGTGATTGAGAGGGGGAGTTAGAAAAATTGTAAATGGAGAGAGAAAAATAAATAGAGAAGAAAAGAGAGAAAGAGAGAGAGAGAGAGAGAGAGAGAGAGAGAGAGAGAGAGAGAGAGAGAGAGAGAGAGATTTTCAAATGAAAGGAACACAGAAACTGTCCATAGACTTTCAAGGGAAGTAACCATTCAATTTAAACTTTTCACTGCCAAACTCTGTGTACGACTTCACTCCCTTATTCTTTTACCCTTACATTGAAGTAATCAGACACAAGGACTCGAATCACGTGATTAACCCTCTCCGTACGCCCTGGGGTCGTTTTGTACTCCCAGGGTAGTATTATTCACATTTTAGAATACTTCTTATGCGAAAAACTCTTTGAAACTTTCAGTATTTCTTAAAAAAAATCATTTTGGCAGACAGCTATGTAAAGCGTACGGATCGGATTAACGAATACATTAATTTCCTGTTTGGGAAGTGGTGGCCAAGAGTTCCCCTCTTCGTATGGATACGAGAGTAAAAACACGACGTACGGATAGGGTTAAGAAAAATAATTTCTTTCCATTTCGAAATCACTGACTTTGTACTCCATTACACAGAAATAAGCTGGAAATAAAAACGCGTAAAGAGTTAAGGAACAAGAGTAAAGCATCCCTTATAATATTATAAAGCATTGTTTATTTGTTCTGCATAGGTACACGCTCTATGGTACTCAGACACTCACTACAAAAATTCGGGTTATAATCAAATGATGTAAGTTGACCTACTAAAAAGTGAACCATTGTATGAGCTGCAAGGAGATTACAAGACAAAAACCAAGAAGAATTTGGAGAGGTGTTATAAGTAGAATATCATCCTTAAGATTGCATCCGTCTCAAACAGTCTAAAGTTTGACAAACTGCCGTACCCATTTGCAGCCACAAAATAGATTTCTTTGTTTTCTAACATTTTGGTTCCAAAAACAGAACTATTTGCCAAATTCATCAATTTGCTGGTCAACAGCTTTTCTTCTGAGGCATTTTTAGCGTCCGTTTTTTTTGTTTTTTTTCTTTTAGCGATTACAGTCGCTTCGCTAAGGTTACAGATGACATGAGTTCTATTTCCATATGGTGAAGATTTTTATCAAGTGTCTCCCTCTGTGTGCTGGGTCGCTGTTTCCCTCTCACTCTCAGCCCGGGTTGGCCCTGGCAGCCATGATCGAAGAAACCCGTCTCCAAAATGATCTAAAGTTTGTCGTTGCAAGCGTTACACATTTAAAATCACAATTTATAACAAATCAATTTACGTCATGTTTTTCAGCTTTTTAGTTTTAGTAAGAGTTTTACAGCACTTGCAACACTTATGTCATATAAGTGACGAGGATTAAAAGGTGTCACAAGAGAGTAACATACAAAGAAAAGAAGGAGGGGAGATAAGGACGATAGATATTTGATAGGAAAAAAGGAGCAAACCATATAAGAGCACCCGCCAATCACCCACTTTCTCAGCTTTGTCGTATAGTCGACACGAGGGTTCAAAAAGAATTCCATCATAACACATTTATTTGCAAGTCAGTTTTACCGTTTCGGCAAGATTTCTGACCAATATGATATTTGTCTAGACCCTTTTTAGAACTACTTGGAGTGCTGCCATGATGCAAGAGTAACCTACTGGAACAAACAATTTTTTTTTAATCCACGAAATACGCTGCACGTCAAACGGCTGCAACAACAACAACAGCTACAACAACAACAATAACAACAACAACAGCACCAGCAACAAAGGTCAAAGTATAGGCTTTTGCCTAGCTTACGTCGACCATTTTTACGTCCTATAACGCCCCCCCCCCCTCAAAAAAAAAAAAGAAAGAAAAAAGAAAAAAGAAAAAGGATTGCAGTTATAACTCAATTCGTTCTGTGAAATGACGTCAGCCCAGCATATTATATTATGGAACACCACGTCAGAGGGTGAAGACCACCAACTTCAGATCAAGTCAGTCGTTTGTGCCAATTGTGAAATCAGGGCGAGGGGAATTCAATAAATCCTAATACTACTAATGTATTACATTAATGATAACGCCGCGGTGGAGATACTTATTTTGTTTATAGATCGTCTAGGGTAAGATTTTACGTATTCAAGTTGCTTTTATGCAAAGAGTAAGAGAAGATGAGGATCGCAACCCTTCCTAATTAAAAACACTATTGTTTGACAGACAAACAGAAGGTATTCTTCAGAGCTAGTGGATTCATTTATATAACTGTGCATAGAAAGCGAACGACGCCTTTGTCGAGAGTGAAATACGTGGATTTTGTACAGGCCTACCGATCTGTCGTGCTAAAAGAAAGTACCCGAAACCTACAGAAGTGGTTGGGCCTAACGGTTGACGAATTGGTGAAAGTAGATCTCGAACCCTCTCCCCTCAACCCCATTCTAAAAATAAGTTAATAGTTTCTTTCGAGTACGGTGTCAGTTAATCGATTGAGCTACAAAAGGCATTATTCAGGGTTGAGATCATATCTTAAAAGGACGGAACATGCTAAAAGCAGTCGTTACAAGTTCACCCAGTCGTTTCTCCAATTAAGAATATAACTCACACTTGTTTGATTGCGGTTGTCTTCGAAAATAACCGCTGGTTTTGGATCGTAACCGAATAAGTAAAAATCGTCATGATAGATTTCAGTCAATCTCTGACGGTCTTGTAGAGACACTTGACTATAAGCAGCCTTAAAAGCAGCAAGCTTTTGGCGCTTCAGTTTATCCCTATCCGTTGAAGTCTCTGTAGCTTTTATACAACGCGATCTAAAATCATCTGGAGATATAGATTCCATTTCTTCCTCTGAGTAGGGAAAATGAAAATCGTGCTGAATAATGCCTCTGATCTGCAGACGTCTCCATATCACTTTGCCTACGTCTAGAGCAGACGTGCACTCGGTGACCTCACGCCTCCAGCTGTGTAGAGAGTCTTCGGTGGAGTCTTTGATGACGTCAAGGGTGGACGCCGTTTTATAACGATTTTCGTGCAGAAACGACGAACTGACGTTGAGTTTTTGAGATAAGTTGTCAATGTCACTGGACGCTTTTTCAAGCTTTCCAACAAAGTCGTACCTCACCTTGCATATATTGCACATAGTCGTCATTGGAACAAAGTGCAGATCGCTCCTCCACAAGCGAGTCACCACAAGGTGGACAAATGCGCCGAAGGGGACGCCACTCCCACATTTATGCTCGGATGAATTGAGGCCGCTGTCCCTTATTGCAGGCACTCCCCAGTCCCGCCAGTAGACAGGGTTGGGTGAGTACAGCTTGTCTACGTAGGCTGAAAACACGCGCCAGTAAGGATCTCTTGTAAACAGGAATTTGAAAGATTCTGAAATAAATTTCGTTTTCTCCTGTTGTGACGTCAAGTCAGTCAGACTTGTCAGTCCGTTCCGGCCCGCGTCTGCGATCTTAATATCATATGGTGACGTCATAGGCCCTGGCCTGTCGACTGCCATGATGTATCTGTGGGTGGGAAAAAAAGTTACGTATTTGAACTCAAAAGCTGCTCATTGAAATAATTTGAAATGGTACAGAGTCGTGCCATGCCGGTATGTTATATTCGTAATAGGAGACATTATAATTTTTTCCTATAATTATATACGACGCATCGTTCATCCATCTTTATGCTTGTATGATTATTATATTGTGTGACAGTGAAGGAAGGCAAGCCGTTTTAAAACAGAGAGATAGAAAAGGAATTTTTTTGTTTGTTTAGACGTTAAAACGATTGGAAAAGACCTGGTCATGATGATACGAGGTGGATTCGATCTCTTTGACTACGTATATATATATAGTTTTTAGTTGCTTTTTGAATGGTCTGTTCCGTAAACCATAATATTTGTTCACAGCGCTGCTTTAATTACGATGTCTATTCTTTTTCCACATCTATATTATGATTACGGCCAATGGCGAGCAGGGTGCTATCCCATACTTATTCCATTTCCCACTTTTGGGAGTTTTAGTCACAGCTGTCAAGCCTATTGAAAAATCTTTATTTGAGACCAACATCTTTGCGGTTAAGGCATGTGTTCCGGAAGGTTTAGGTTTAATTGTGTGTCAACTCTCGTTTTCAAAAATATGGGAATCTAGCGTTTTCAAAGCGATTTACATCAAAAACCGGATAGTTGGAGTTAGTCCAAGACAACAGTAAACTCGTGACAGCAAGTGAATCCAGGAAATACATGTATAAGCATATTATTATGTTAAGGAAACGCCTATCGGTAGTTTTGCTTTTTTTTAAAAACCGATCAATCTCTCCAATGGGTGTGGTATTACTGATTTGTTTATTTCCCATTTTTAAATAATTATAGTGGTTGCGTCTCTGGTGTAGTTGTTAGCACAGTAGAACGTAACGAGAGCGACCCCGTTTGGATATATAACGAGGCATTTTGAACATTTTGGGAGTTCTTTTAAATATTACTTGCACGCAGTCACAAAGGATTTGTGAACTGTCGTAGAGGGACTATACAGCACTTATTCAATTGTAAAATGTTTGAAAAGACATCAGGTCCCAAACCAAAGAAATACCCAAAAGTACCAGTGATTTATGGGGCACGGAAAAATACATTCATTCAATTTTGTATCTCATTGTTTACATGTGTTTCTCAAAGTAAGCCCGCATTTGAATTCTGCAAAGTGTACCCACTCTGTTATAAAAGCCAAGAGAGAAATTTTGAGCTGGTAACTTATTCCAGACTTGTTGTAATTTTCTTTTTAATGATTTGCTACGAGTATTTCAAACCTTTAAATCAAAAGTCATGTCGCTTCAAAAGTGAAATCAGTGTGTCAAAGTCTTACTTGTAAATAAAAGATTGTTTGGTTAATCATTTTTTAAACGGTTTCAAAGCGTCGATATGCACACGCTACATCAATACAAAGGCTCGGATCAGAATTCTGTCCTCGATGGACCATCTGACAATGGAAGTAAGAATGAAATTCCTGTAAGTAGATGACATTTGATAAAATTACTCGTTTTCGAAGGGCACTGTCACATTGATTACAATTGAAGCGTGTTTTCCCAAAACTCAGTGAGTCAATTTTGACAAGCGTCTGATTTCACCACGATATGCCTCTCACGTTTATAACATAAAAATGACCAATTTATGTATTGTTATGTGCAATTAGTCCATTATTATTTTATGAATGTTAGTGGCATCCCATTATCCCCATGAGCACCAAGGCGAAGCTCATCAACCCCATTTTCCTTCCAACGCTCACATATCAGTGCCAGACATGGTCCCTAGCAAAAGCCTTAGAGAGGAAACTGGTCACAGGAGAGATAAAATGCTTAAGAAGAGCGGTCAACAAAACAAGAAGAGACAAAGTAACAAATGAAGTCGTAAGGGACACCATGGGAGCAACACCAGTGCTATCACACATTGAAAAATAAAAGGTCAAGTGGTTCGGACACCTCACGCGGATGCCCTTAAACCATCCAGCTCTGAGAGCATACAACATTAAATATTCTGGATGGAGAGCCAGAGGAAGACCAAGGCGACGATGGAGTGAATCTGTGGCAGACACCCTCAGAGCTCACGGGATGTCCCTCCTTCAGGCCACACGCCTTGCTACAGACAGACGCCTGTGTCTCCCCGGGACACCCCCCGGTACAAGCGGAAGATAAAAGTAAAAAGTAAAAGTAAAGTATGTTAGTGGCATCGTGGTGAAACCAGGCGCTCGTCAAAATTGACTTACCGTGTTTTGGAAAACAACTCTTCAATTAACCTACCGAGTAAAAAATGTTGAGCCGGCTTTGGCCAGAGGGCAGTAGAGTAGTTTCCGGCGACGTGAAATGACAGGGCTCATCGGGAACGAGGCGACACGGTTGATGGGACGCATCTTGCCATTTGCAGCTGCCATGTGATGACATCGCTCCTCCACCTCTGTGTGGAGTGGGTGCTGGGTGGTGGTGTGTAGTTGAGGCTGGGGGGAAGGAACTGGGTCTACCTCATTTGTGCTGAAGGAAAAGAATAAAAGGAACGAGTAAAAGTAGGTTTTGATTTGCTTTTTTTCTTCTTTCTTTCAAAGATGTGGACAGCGGTGTGGATTTGGGTGGAATTTGGGTGGAATTGTACTGAAAGCAGGTGCTCGCCAATGTGAGGAAATCGCAGAAACTGCCCCCCCCCCCCCCCCCAACCCCCTTAGACAATTTTAATCATTTTTGTTCCTGACTCACAACCCTTTACGACCATGTTATATGGATTTTTAATTAACTGAAATGTGTTGATATGATATAAGGCACACGCAAGGTAAATTTTCAGGTTTTAAGGACACCCAAGCTTTGGAAGTCACCAAACTTTGGAGGCCTTTTTTTGCGCTAATTTCAGTTCTGACACCAGGCGACGCGAACTTCATTCAATCGCAAACATCTCGACTTCTGTTCAAGAGAAATGGCTGCTGCTTTTAAGGACAAGCGGGCTATCCCAGATTTCGGGGGTTTCCAGAAATTTTAGCCGACACCAAAAGTGGGCTTTGCCCTACCTATAGGAGACATTTGGTTTCGTTGGTGTGTATAATCGTTTGGTGATAGAGAAAACCCTCCTTGTCTTTTAAAGAAACTGAACAAGGGGCAAAAACTTTACCTTCGATTTTCTGAAAACAGCTTTTTTCGGGATAGCCCACTTGTCCTTAAAAGTGACCAAATCATTCTTTATTCACCAAAAGCAAGATAAACTAACAGGCTTTAAGATTATACCAATAACTCCATCTGAAACTGATGAGCGCCTTCTCCACTGTGTCGTGACACATACAAAATGTTGTGATGAGATTAGGAAAGACAGAAAAGAACATTTCTCCATGGGTATTGCTGTCTTCTCAACTACAGCAGAAAATAAAACGTGGGGATGGGAAATCTTTGCTGGTAATGGCTTCTTGCAAACACATAAGAAAACGGCCTGTTTCGACAGACCACAACTGAAAAAACGGCTTCTGTGGTGTAGTGATACGGCGCTTCGCTGTCTCGCTCCGAAGACCCCAGTTCTATTCCTGAATTGAGAGAATATATTTTTTGGGGGTAAGTGTTTTACGGCGCTCGCAACAGCATAAGGTCATATGAGCGTGCGGGACACACTTAATATTCTCAGTTGGTGAAAAAGTTTGAATTTTTCCCTTTTGGCAGCAGAAGCCTACTCTCATCGATTTTAGACCACCAAAGGATCTTTAACGTGCGCAACTTGCACACGGGCCCTCCGAGATTTTTCGCCCTTGTCCGAGAAGGCTAGGTGTAAATAATCTTTCCTACCAGAAGATCAGGGGTGTGGCTGAAAGACAGCAGTAAGAAGGAGCCAAGGAGTGGCAGTAGAGAGGTTGCAGAAAGAGTCAGGAGCCCAGAGGAGGGGGCAAAGGAGGTGAGGGGGTGGGGGCAAAAAGAGGAGACAAAAGCAGACGACAGAACATTGCTAAAGAGCAGGAAAGGATGTGAAAGGAGACAATTTTAGAGAAGAATTTTTTTCCGTCACTACCTGGATTCGAACCTGGGACCTTTGAATGAGAGACGAACACTTTGCTGGTTATGGCTTCTCGCAAACACATAAGATAACGGCCTATTTCGACAGATCACAACTGAAAAACCGGCTTCTGTGGTGTAGTGGTATGGCGTTCCGCTGTCGCGCGCCGGAGACTCGAGTTCTATTCCTGAATTGGGAGAATATTTTGCGAGTGTCTCGGTCTTTCTGTTGGGATGGTGGGGTTGGCACTGACAGAGGATATTAAGCTCATTCCCCTAAGAGGTCTAAATTGTGTCAATTGGGGGGGGGGGGAGGGGAGGGGAGGGAGTGTAAAACACCGACACAGAAAAAAACAACAACTGAAAGGCTCTATCAATTAATCGGTGTTCTACATTTTGAAAAAAAAAATCAAATTTCTTTCATATTCACAAAGCAGCTGTAGTTCCTTCGGCGCCAGCCTTTTCCGTCCACATTTAAAACCTAAATGTGAGGCAGCGTGGTGGAATCAGGCTCTCGTCAAAATGCTCATAGTGAAAAAACTTGCATTTTTCCACAGGTTTGTGAATTTTTTTCAAATTTTTGTTTTTTAACTCAACACTTTTCATGCTCTTTAAACAACTCATTTCTGTATGGATTTTTGTGAAAAACGTTGATTAGAGGCACACAAAAATGTACATTTTCAGTTACCACGGACTCTTAAGCTAAGGAAATAACTAATCTTTTTCTCACTAATCTTATCTATGAAAACAGGTGACCCTCACCCCCTTCATTCGCAAATATCTCGACTTGTATTCAAGATAAATGGATATTTTTTCACTCAAATAAAGACAAATGAACAAACTTTAAGATGATACAAATAACTCTACATGCCCAAAAATTGACGAGAGCCTGATTCCACCACGCTGCCTCACAAATACACTTACCAGAAACCTTCATTGCACACAATGTGGGTTGTGGGGTTTGTTTTTGGTTGGGTTTTTTTGGAGAGGAAGAGACACACATTGGTACATGTCGGCGGCCTAGTGGTTAGGCTCTCGGACTCGCAACCGTAAGGCCATGGGTTCGAATCCCGTTAGGGGCCCGACGTTGTGCCCTTGGGAAAGGCACTTTGCACACATTTTCCTCACTTCATCGAGGTAGAAATGGGTAACCGGCTATAGACAGTGAACGATCTTGTCAGCTTGATAGTGTTTGAGCGAGTGAACTCCGCAGCTTGCACTGTATGCTTCCGCAGAAGCCGAGAATGTTTCTGAGTGTTCTCAGGGGATCTGCTGGGGGTAATAATAGTTGTAAAGCGCATAGAGCATGCTCTTGAGCATGGATATGCGCTATATAAATGCAATTATTATTATCATCATTATGTGTTCATTTTTTCCCCAATTGTGAAAACGTGATGTTTTAAAATAAGCCTTGTAATGATTCTTGAAATAGGACGTCGAACAGCAATGGAACGATGCCGGTTACAAAATTAATTAAAGGCCCTTGGTAAAGATCAAGGAAAAATGGAAACTTGAGAGCCTTTCCGGTAGTCTGGGAATTTGGCAACCTTGAAACCTGGGAACTTGGGAGTCTGTGAAAGTGGGAAGCGTTTTCTTTTGTTTGCTTAAGTAACTATAAGCATGTCGAATCATGGCTGTCATTTTGTGCCGGATGCAAAGCCTGGAGAGAACGACAAATATGGGAAAGACAAAATAGAAAAACCCACCGGGTGTGTGTCAACTACTATTGTATACACATACTTCAATAATTGCAGAGAAAATGGCCTTTCAAGGATCCAAACTTCAACCATCCGTTAGTATTCGAACGATGCTGCGTTCTAACTGTTATTGATTTGATCTTCTCTGTTGCTTTCTTCTAGTATAGTATAGACACACAGGTGTGACAATTATTGCAGATAAATAAGAGTGCTTCGAGTACATTGTTATTGCAATTTAATGCTTATTCTCATGCCTCCACCCCCCCCCTCTCTCTCTCTCTCTCTCTCTCTCTCAGTATTACTCTGTCACACACACACACACACACACACACACACACACACACACACACACACACACACACACACACACACACACACACACGTTCACACACACACACACACACACACACACACACACACACACAAACACACACACACATACACGTTCTCAAAAGTAGAGTTGAGAAAGCAAACCGATAGCCGGCCAGGTAAATAAATCCTCCTCCCCTTCCCCCCTCCCCCCCCCCCCCCGGTCCTCCCACCGATGGAGACAGGACACACTTTTCCCAAAAAGGTTATACAGGAGCAGGCTTTATTAATAATTTAGCTGGAGGGGGATGGGGGAAGTGGTATACAGAACGATTGCGTGACGGCTGCCCGCCCGAGGCTACGTAGGAATAATAATTAATTAATTAAACAGTGACCTTTCCTACAGGTTCCAATGGATCCAGCTGTACTGCTCTCTGACCAAGGCCAGCTTGACCATGATCGGAGATCTTTCTATAAGGGAAACCGTTTAACATACTTCGTTTAGACTTTTGGGGGATAGTTTTACGGTACTTGCAACACAGATAGGTCATTTTTATATTAAAGTTCCGAACATTTACTTTTCAATACATGACGACGACGTCAAAAACTTGAGGGCGTACATACGAGGAGTAGGTTTACAAAGAGATGTGTCATGATTTGACGCTTATGTTAATGTACCAACCCGTGTGGACAAAACTTTTGACCTTATGTTATGTAAATGTCTCTAATTTTACTTCTCACAACGTGAGACCATCAGTCGTAAATATGTCGACTTTTGTTAAAGACAGATGGGTATTTTTTTTTCACTAAAAGCAAGGCAAATGAACAGGCAATCATATAAGACATAAAAGAAGGTTTTTTTTACTATCCAGCATAAGGCTATTGTCACAATAAGCATAGATATGTATTGCTCTTGAGAGTATGTATCTATATAACTCCAAAGGTCTTGTAATTAAATTTCTGCATGTGGTTGAATTATGTATCTGATGTGACATGTACTTTTTGTAAGCTTACTTCTCTTTTCATATTGAATTTTAATTAGAGTAATATATAATTTTAATTTTTATGTTTACCTGCATGTGTTTTTACGGTCCTCCCTCTGGGATAATAAAGTATGATCTTATCTCTTATCTTATTTTTTAACAATTTTGTTGGGGCCAAAAACCTTTAGTGTCCCTCTAGAAATATTCTTATATTTCTGTGTCGGTTTTACTGAAAAATAGTGGATCAAAGCGACACAAAAAGTAGAATTGCAGTTCCCTAGGACATTCAAGTTTTAGATTCTTTAGCTAATTTTACTTCTGACACCAGGCGACCATCAGTCGTAAATATGTTGACTTTTGTTAAAGACAGATGGGTATTTTTTTCACTAAAAGCAAGACAAATGAACAGGCTTTGGAATGCAAATGAACAGGCATTCATATTTTGCTCTAAAATGGACGAGCTCCCTATTTCACGTACATTGTCGTAGCACGTTTGATGATGAACATGAATTGATCATTGACGTGAGCTGGTTAGTAACCACCTGAGACATAACTTCCCGTGGAGAGTGAGTCAAGCTACGCCACATCTACTTTGTTAGCTCTTTTCCACATCTTTAACCACTCTCAGTACTTAGTGTTTTACTATCGTATCTATACGACGTGGGGAAGCGTGTGCCGCCACTTTCCAAAGAGGAAATTTACTCGTTAATCCGATCCGTACGCTTTGCATGACAGTCTGTCAAAATGACTCTTTGAAAAATACTGAACGTTTCAAAGAGATCTTCGTACTAGAATTATTCTAAAATGTGAAGAACACAACCCCGGGGGTACAAAAATGACCCCAGGACGTACGGATAGGGTTAATAAAAAACCTTCCCTCTTCACCCCACCCCATCCTCACCATTTCCTGTTTCGAATACCTTTTTCCCGCCCTGTCATTGCGTGTTGACACATCGCTCCTGTATTAGATACTCACGGAGATTCAACCTCTGTGCTTTTGTAAGCGTTACTCTTTGCAACAAAGAAATGTGGTCAAATATTCATGGGCTGCCTTTTCTAATATGAAACGCGTATAGGAAGATCTCTTTGCACGTTTCTCCCGTCTGTGGTATCTATCAAAGCACATGCCAGCTGGAAACACATGAGGCAGAATGATATGCGAGGTGTGCTGACAAAATAAGTTAAGTCTCGGATTTAACCCTCTTTGGTCACGTATAAGGAATTTACAGGTTGGGTTTGTACTGTTTATTATATTAAATGATAAAAGACAAGTTTAACTTGAAGAAAAAATGGCATCCCTTAAAAGTCTACAAATTTGATGTGCCTATTTTCGGCTGACGTCTCCCCTCAAGGGTTGCGAGAGGTAACTCATTTTGTCAGCACGCCTCACATAATATGTGAGGCAGCGTGGTGGAATCAGGCTCTCGTGAATTTTTGGGCATGTAGAGTTATTGGTATCATCTTAAAGCGTGTTTACTTGTCTTATTTATTTGGATGAAAACAATATCCATTTATCTTGAATACAAGTCGAGATAATTGCAAAAGAAGGAGGTGAGGGTCACCTGTTTTCAGAGGTAAAATTAGTGAGAAAATGGCCGCCAAAGATGAGTTATTCAATAAGCTTAGGAGTCCGTGGTAACTGAAAATTTACATTTTTTGTGCCTTTAATCAACGTTTTTCAGAAAAATTCACACATAAATGAGTTTTTTAATGCGTATGAGAAGGTGTTGAGCCAAAAAAAAAAAACGATAAAAATTCACAAACCTGAGGAAAAATACAAGTTTCTTCACTCTGATTATTTTGACAAGAGCCTGATTCCACCTCGCTGACTCACGTATGTCATGGGTACTGGTCAATTGATTAAGAACAAAGTATATCTTACTAAGCTTACTAGTTTAAGCATGCTTTATGGCACCATTGATACAACTGCAGTTCGCTTCCAGGGGTGAGGACAGAAAGAACCAGAAACCTTGGACCCCACTGTTATTTTCAATTGAATTCGTTACTACTCCAGACAGCGTATTTTTTGGATAAAGGAGACGGCACAGAGATGAGTGGTTGCATCTGCTCGGCGTCTTTGCAGCAGACATTGTCCTCATGATAAATTGAAACCACTCCCGTGAAAGGTGTCATACAAGACCGAAAACTAACTTCAGTCTTGGGTGTTATCTTCTGTATTTGCGTTTAATTATAGATGAAGGATGTCGTAAGTGCTGGTGAACGCGTTTTGTTAGGTCAGTCATGGAGAGGTTCTTATTGAACTATCTACAGTGCGTCAAAAATTCGTAGTGCAACTTATTGTCAAATATTTCCTAAACTATCGAACATAGGTTCGCCAGCTTCTGCTCAATGACTTGTAGTAATTTGTCGTAACAAATAGTTGTAAACACCTGTTACCTGTGTTCCAGGAAATGTTTTAATTAATAAACTCTAAAAAAGACCCAAGAGGGTGGTTTCTACAGATTTTAAAAGGTTTATAGCGAGGGGGGAAATGGCTTTTAAAAGCAAGCCCGTCATTTTTTTTTCTTCTAATCACGACATTATGCTTACCGAATACATGTTTCGGGAACCTATAGTTGAAAAAGAGATGTTCACTGTTAAGTTAATTTTTTTATAACAAGTTTTGTCAATAAAAAGAGCCATTGGTGAGCTGTGACGTAAGCCATACGTGTATCCAAATGTGTGTGAGAAATAGGAAGTGCTGTGTACAATCCAATTTTTCGCGCGACGGAGATTTATAATATTATATAAGGTTACAATCTAGCCCCCACTGTTGTGGACAGTTGTAATAAAGTTAAGAGAAATTGATACAAACTGCTGTGCAAAGTAGGGGTGACATTGATTCACCAGTAAAAGAGATTATTTGAGAACATGAAGTTATGTCACGAATTGTTGCACGTCAGCACCACCAACAGCAGCAACAACAACAGAAACAACAACGACAACAACAACAACAACAACAGAAACAACAATAACAACAACAACAACAACAACAACAACAACAACAACAACAGAAACAACAACAACAACAACAACAGCAACAACAACCAGAACAACAACAGCAACAATAACAATAACAACAACAACAACACCAACAGAAACAACAACAACAACAACAACAACAACAACAACAACAACAGCTACGACAACAACAACACTCTATTTTATTACAGACCTTCTTTTGAGGTCTCTCTCAATTCCTAATTGAATGTCTATCGTCTCTCCCACTGCAGATGAAGAGGAACAAACATTACATATATATAATTATTATTTCGTTATATATATAGTGTGTCTCTTTTTGTTTGTGTGTGTGTATGTGTGTGTTTAGGTGTGTGTATGTGAGTTTAGGTGTGTGTGTGTGTGTGTGTGTGTGTGTGTGTGTGTGTGTGTGTGTGTGTGTGTGTGTGTGTGTTTGTGTGTGTGTGGGTGTGTGTTTATATTACCGTGATGTACATGCAAACTACTAGTGCTCTCTTTCTCTCTATATTTCCATCTCTGAATTTCTCTTTCTGTTTGTGTTTCTGGTCTCTCTCTCTGTCGCTGTCTGTGTGTCTGTGTGTCTGTGTGTCTGTGTGTCTGTGTGTCTGTCTGTCTGTCTGTCTGTCTGTCTGTCTGTCTGTCTGTCTGTCTGTCTGTCTGTCTGTCTGTTTGTTTGTCATGGTCCTCCTCCTCCCCCTCCTCCTCCTCTTTCTCTTCTTCTTCTTCTTTTTCTTTTTCTTCTTCTTCTTCTTCTTCTTCTTCTTCTTCTTCTTCTTCTTCTTCTTCTTCTTCTTCTTCTTCTTCTTCTTCTTCTTCTTCTTCTTCTTCTTCTTCTTCTTCTTCTTCTTCTTCAACTGTTAGATCTGAAGCAGACATTGCCGATCATGGTTCCGTCATCCCCCTGCTCAGATGCTCAAATTAACCCTTTCCCATCGTGTCACCTTTCTGATAAAATCCTCCTAGCAAGTTAAAGTATCTCTCTCTCTCTCTCTCTCTCTCTCTCTCTCTCTCTCTCTCTCTCTCTCTTTCTGTCTATTTTGTCCAACGTGTAAAAACACTGGTTGGAAGAATTGTACAACGTTATTGAAACGGTGCGTGTATCTCACTCACCTTGCAAGATGTTGATGTAGATAAAGCCACTCGTTATCAAGAATGCAAAAGCAAAGGTCACGAGCAGTGACCTTTTGGCCCTACAACGCATCTGGGGTTATTTTGGAAATTTTCTTGTCCTCTGATTTTTTTCCCCACGTTGCGAAGTCTGTCACTCGCACTTCTAGCATGTCGGCACAGCCAGCTGTTGTAGAGAAAATACACAGATTTGATAAGGTGGAAATGTTGACTTCAATAACGAACCCTGATGGGCGATGTGTGTCGCAGATCGGGCACTTGATGATGACAATGATGATGATGATGATTTTTTGTTTGTTTCCTTAATGGGCCTGACGGACTCCACGAAGAAATCTTCGAGCGAGAGCGAGGCTCTTTTTCTGCTCCATTGTCAATATTATGCTTAGAGGCACGTCCACTCGTCCAAATAACTCCATTCAAATTGCCATTGATGATGATGATGATGATGATGATGATGATGATGATGATGATGATGATGATGATGATGATGGGCAACAAGCATTGTTGATCTGACGACAAGAAAATAGACTGGAGCCTTGACAGTATCTGCTTATAATAACCAGGTTAGCATCAGCCACTTGAGGATTAGAGAGAAAGGCGGTGGAATCGGGTCCTCAGCGTTGTCGATCCTGACTTTAAAAATCCGTTTTAATGTGTCCAAATTATCGATTTCTACCTTTCAATTCCCTAAACAATATGAAGAAAAAGTGGCCTTGGGGTAATAGTTTCAGTATAGGTGCTCTGGTGCACTACACTGTACGTAAGATTGGTTATTTTCGTCAAACCTAGAAAACCATGACCTACGAGCTCAAACATGTCCAATTGTAGTGGATTTGACCCATTTATGCCATAGTGGTAGCTTTTGTTCTGCTATGAGGGATAACGTGGCTTTCCTCTAATGTATATCAAACAATGTCAAATGGAGATTTAAGAAGTGCAATGAGCCCTGGGTTTTAGACTAGACGGTAAAATCAAATTATTGATCCGCAATTTCGACACTGATGAGCTACCACACAAAGCAGGCGAGAAGAAAAAGACAGTGAAAAAAACAGCAAGTGTAATAAGAGTAAAGAAAACCACGAACAAAATCAAGGACCTCGACTACACCTTGCGTCAATAAACACATGCTAACAAAAAATAAAACAACCTAACAAACACCCAAGCAAACATTTTTTGTTCGAACACAGCTGTGCACGAAAGTTACTGGGTTTCTTTGACGACGACATGCGAGCATCGATTCAGTCAGCCTATACCTTAAGGCCTGCCAACGGGTGACTGTGTCTACTAACTGGTTTAACTGTCGGGCTCGCAACCCGAGAGATTATGGGTTCGAACTCCGTCAGGGATCCGCTGTTGTGTCCTTGTGAAAGGCATTTTGCACGAACTTTCCTCACTTCACCCAGGTGGTAATGGGTACCCAGCTACAGACAGCGAAGAATCTTGTTAGTTTTTGCAGTGTTTGGGTGCTTAATTGGCTGCTTTGCGTGCACAGTTTGCTTTCCAGGAAACGGAGAACGTTTCTGAGTGTTCTATAGTCTGTTGAGGGTTGCAAGATAGATTGTAAAGCGAAGCGTATAGAGATTGCTGTTGAGCGGGGATATGCGCGATGTTATTTATTGTTACTTATTGTCATTTATTATTGTTACTGCCATCCTTCGAGACGAACAAGATGTAGGTATGTGAAGTGAAATTGAAGAGTAAAACAGATACGACGACAACTGCAGTAACAACAGCAACATCAACAACGGCAGCGGCAACTACAGCAACTGCAACAACTGCAACAACAACAACAGCAAAAAGTCCCTAACCGAACCAAGACTACATAGACAAAAACAAGTAGATTAAAACCTATAATTTACCCCCTCGGGGCGGTGCCATTGACTGAAGTGTCTTTTGGCCATTCCTAAAGGGGAGACATTTCCAGTTTTTATGCACAGTAGAATTGTAAATGGGCTGATTCATCTACATTCATCTAGTACACTACTCTAGTATCATCAAGTCTTCGCGATTCAATAAAGTTAAACAACCCCCGGGGCAGTGCCACTGGCTGTAGTGTCTTTAGGCCATTCCCAAAGGGTGGACATTTCTCGTTCAAGCTCAGTAGAATTGTAAATGGGCTGATTCATCATGTCACGCTCATAATTGTGCCTGATCTGCAACAGAGAACTGCTGCTTTTTCTTTCCTAATCCTTACTATTGTCCTTTTCCTCTACTTCTTTTGTATGTTTGTCACTCTCTTGTGACCTGCTATTTCCGGGGTGCCTTGATAGTCGAAGTAGACCTTGTGCTGTTGAAGCTAGAGAGGTGAGCAGAGTAAGTCTGATTCCCTGTAAGGATTTCTCTGTTGCCACCCACCCCTTGGCTCTCATATGACCTCATGCAGTTGCGAACGCGGTAAAACCTCAACTATAAAATTAAAGTCAAACAAATGAAAGAGACACGAGGACACACCTGTGTCGACTGTGAGCCAGCGAGAGGCATAGTATAATGTAAGATTTACTTAATATGTTTTATCAAACACATCAATGATGGACCCACAAGCCACACATATTTTTTATCAGTCTAGTGTAGCAAGGATAGCGATGAATTCACGTCACACGCACACATATTATTATTATATGACCTTAAGCAGTAGTTGCAAGCGCCATAAAACACTTACCCTCCACCCCCCCCAAAAAAAAGATATATATATATATATATATATATATATATATATATATATATATATATATAATAATAATAATAATAATAATAATAATATATATAATATAATATATAGTTAAAGAGAGAGAGAGGGGGGAGAGAGAGAAGGGGGGAGAGAGAGAGGGAGAGAGAGAGAGAGAGAGAGAGAGAGAGAGAGAGAGAGAGAGAGAGAGAGGGGGGGGGAGAGAGAAGGGGATATGAAGGGCAATGAAAGATGGGGAGAAAAAGAGATATAGAAACAAACTGAGACACAGAGAAATGGAAAATAGACAAGCCAAGGGAAATATCGATTTCCTGAGCCAACTGCTTTTGATTTGCTCAAGGGATTCAGATAACGGCCAACGCTATCGTTTAAAGGATCCACTTCTCAACATCATAGAATCAATATATACGACACAAGTTGGTCAGAAGTGTATTAAGACAGCAACACACAATAAATGGCAACATGCTCAGAACTGTCTATAGGGAGAATAAAAAAGCTTCTCTAACCTTCATGATCTTAAAGTCGCTTCTCAAAAGTGGTGTCAGTAGTCGAAAGTGCGCAACAACAAAAGATTCGTGGCGCAACGTATCCTCAATAAATGTGAGGCAGCGTGGAGGAATCAGGCTCTCGTCAAAATAATGAAATCGAAGAAAACGGCAGTTTTCTCAATGCTTAGCAATTTTGATCAAATTTTTCTTTTTTGGCTCAACACCTTTTATGTCCATTTGGAAACACATTCCTTTGAGGATTTCACCGAAAATGTTGATTAAAGGCACAAAAATATAAATTTACAGTTTCTATGCACTCTCCAGCTTTGTAATTTACCAAGCTTTGGCGGCCATTTTCTCGCTAATTTTACATCTTAAATCAGGTGACCCCCCACCTCCTTCAACCCAAACTATCTCCATTTCTATTAAAGATGGTTGAGTAAGTTTTTCATCGAAAACAAGACAAATGAACAAGCTTTAAGATGATACCAATAACTCAATATGCCCAAAAATTGACAAGAGCCTGATGCCACCATATACTTTGCACAGCAGTTTGTATCAATTTGCCTTAACTTAACTCTATTTTTACCACATTATTTGGAGCTAGATTTGAAAAAAATCTTTTCTTTAGAAATTTATATAAAATACTCTAAATCTCCGTCGCACGAACAATGTGATTATTTACAGCACTTCCCGCTTCTCGCACATAATTATTTTGCATACTTCTATGGCCTGTGTCACAGCTCACTAAATTCACTTTTAGTTGCAAACATTTTTACCAATTACCAAAAAAATAATTTTGAAGTTAGCACATTTTTGCACTAATGGTTCTCACAACATGCATAATGTCGCAATCAGAAAAACAATGACGGACCAAAGGTAGTACCTAACAAGATGGTTCACTCAGCCAAAAAAATGTCCGCCGGAAGTCCGCTCTTTGCTTCAGATGGCGCTGCGGTCTGTTTTGAAGCTCTCTTTCGTTTTTCCAGAAGAAGAATAGGAAAAGCGCCTCCTTGCGTGCGCAGATCGACTGCTGTTCATCAGCACTTCGGGTTCGTTCAGTGCGGAGTTTAAGTTTTTTAAAATATTTTAATGACCTCTCGCCTTTCATTCTAAAGTCAAATTAAACGAAGGAAACAATCACCCCTTCCTCCGGAAAAGGTTTTTTGTCAGCGTAACCATTTTAAAAAAGCGTTCTTCCGAAATTTATTTCGAAAACTTGCTAGTTTAACTTTGATTTTTTTAAACACAAGTAGGGTAACTCTGTTCGCAAAGGATGCGCAATTGCGAGGAGGGCGCCACCGAATTTTGAGGACACTTTTTTAATTGGCTCAAAGAGAAGAGTGGTCCCTCTTGTTATGTAGACTCTTTGGACGGACTTATAAAATTGATTTTGCCCCAGCTGTAAACCTTATAATATCTGCAGAAACAAAACATTTGGATTTTTAAAATCAGTTTTAGTTAAAGAATTTTCTAGAATACAGCTAACAGCTGTTTACAAAAATGTTGATCTGTTAAAACAAATTGATGCTAGTCATTGAGCAAAAGCTGGAGAGTCAAAGTTTAATACTTTAAGGAATACATGCATTTGGCAATAAGTTGCACTACGAATTCCTGATCACGCCATAGATTGAGCGGTAGAGATACTCGAAGATCAGTTCGGTTTCATGTTATATCTTTGGGAAAGACACTTTATATGAATTTTCCCATCTGGCTCTGTCGTATCGGGGGTGGACGATTAATTCGGAAGTCCCGCTTCATAATTAAGCTTACAGTGTATCTAGTGACCTCTAACACCATGGCTACAATTTCGCACATGCTAGCTTCATAAAAAAGTGGAGAGAGAGAGAGAGAGAGAGAGAGAGAGAGAGAGAGAGAAAGAGTATGTGTGTGGAATTAGGAAAGAGGGAGAGAGAGACAGCGAGAGAGAGAGAGAGAGAAAGAGAGAGAGAGAGAGACAGACAGACAGACAGACAGACAGACAGACAGACA